CTGAGTCTGCTCCCTGCTCGTGTCGTCTCCTGTCCCAACAGACTCTCCTTTGGCACCACCGCCTTGGTCACCCCTCCCTGCCTCGTCTCTGAGGCATGGCCTCCCGTGTCCTTGTCTCTGGTCTCCCCCGGTCTCTCCCTCCCCTACCTCCGGGGCCTGCCTCTACCTGCGTCCCCTGCGTCGAGGAGCGACAGCGCGCCGCCCCTCACTCCTCCGAGTCTCCTCCGATAGAGGCTCCACTGGAGACGCTCCACATGGACGTGTGGGGCCCCGCCCGCATCCGTGGACAGGGGCATGAGCGTTACTTCCTGTTGGTGGTTGACGACTACTCGCGTTACACCACAGTCTTCCCCTTGCGCAGCAAGGGTGACGTCACTGAGGTGTTGATCGACTGGATCCGCGCAGCTCGTCCCAAGCTCAAAGAGAGTTTCGGCTCGTACTTTCCTGTTCTATGTCTGCACTTGGACAGAGGCGGGGAGTTTTCGTCTGCCCTTCTGTCGTGCACAGGGCATCCGCCAGACCTTCACGCTTCCGACCTCTCCACAGCAAAATGGGATTGTTGACCGCCGCATTGGCATGGTCATAGACGTCGCTCGTACGTCCATGATGCATGCGGCTGCCCCCCATTTTCTAAGGCGGTTTGCGGTTCAGTACGCCGCGCATCAGCTCAGCCTTCAGGCCCGGGTCTCCTTGCGAGAGACCTCCCCCACCCTGCGGTGGACGGGGAAGGCTGCAATGCGTCTGCGTTTCGGGTTTGGGGATCTCGGGCGTTTGTCCGCGACTTGTCTGCGGACAAGCTGTCCCCCCGTGCTGTTCCCTGCGTTTTCCTTGGCTTCCCCCCTGACGCGCCAGGGTGGCATTTCTACCACCCTACCTCGCGCAAGGTTCTGTCCTCCTACGACGTTACCTTTGACGAGTCCGTACCTTACTACCCTATCTTTCCCTACCGCAGTGAGCCCCTTCCCCCGCCCCCGCTCTTCCTTGCGCCAGGTCCTCCCCCGGTAGACCTCCTCCCCCCTCAGGGTCATGCCCCATCAGGTGTGTCCCAGGTAGACGCAAGTCGAGCCTGTCGAGGTAGTTGTTGACTCTGGTGCTGTTAGATCTGCTGAGCCTGCAGGTGCCGGGTCTGGCGGTGCTGAGAATGGGGGTGCTGAGCCTGGGGGTGCTGAGTGTGGAGGTGCTCAGCATGGGGGTGCTGAGTCACGGGGTGCTGAGCCTTGGGGTGCGGAGCCTGGGGGCGCTGGGTCTGCTCGAGTGGCCGCCGACGGTGCATCGTCGAGGCGGGAGCCACTTTCTCCACAGGAGCTGCGCTAGTGGTTTGCCCGGCACTGGAGCCGTGCTGCTGGAGCTGGAGGTACTACTGTTGCTGCTGGTCCCGGAGGTGCTCGTCCTTGAAGTACTGGAGCTGGTGGGACTGGGGGTGCTGCTGGTTTTGCTGGAGTTGGTCCTGCTGGAGCTTCTAGCGGTACTGGAGCTGCCTGTCCTGCTGGAGTTGGTGCTGCTGGAGGTACTGGAGCTAGAGCTAATGGGGTGTTGGCGGTGGTGTTTCTGCTGGCGCTGGTGCGTCTGAGGATGCTCGAGTTGGCGCTCTTGGAGCTGGAGGTGCAGTTGGCGCAAGTGTTGCCGTTGGAGGTACTGGTGCTGTCCCTGTTGGTTCCGGAGGTGCCGCATGACCGAGGGTGTACTTTGTTCCGCTCCTTGAGCAGGTTCTTGGTCTTCCACCTTCCAGTGGTCCTGCGCGTCCATTAGCGTGTCCACCGCCTGTCCACTCGTAGTCACAGTTACAGCCCGCCTCCCCCCTACCTGCTCCTTCTCCCTACACTGGTCGTATTGGAGGTCTTGCTGAGCATTGTGAGCCTGCGTCTTGTCCTGTGTTGCCTCTTCCTGCTGCTCGCACTAGTAGTCGTACTACGCGTCCGCGTCCTCCTGCAGTCCCAGGCACACACCGGATGGCACTGCGTCCTTCCACTGCTCCTCTACATGTCCCGTTGCCGTCTCCTCCAGAGTCCTCTCTTCCTACTCTTGCTGACCCGGAGTCTAACTCTCTTCGTGCTCCCAATCCTACTGTCACGCGTCTCCTCGCTACTGCTGTCAGTGACCCTTCCTTTGAGTCCACTGCTGCGTTGGCCCTAGTTGCTGAGCTTGTCAACTTTGCTACTCGTTGTCGTCTAGACTACGTGCTAGTCTTGTTGCTGAGTCTGAGTCTGTCTGTCATCCGTCCGTCGGGGGTGAGTCTGCCCTTAGCACGAATGTCCTTGAGGACAGGCAGGAGGAGTTCCAGTGTTTTGCTGCTGCTTTGCCCCATCTTGTGTCCATGCTGATTGCCCTTAAAGGAGACCCGGATGCACCAGACATCCCTACTCCTCGATCGTACGCTGAGGCGTTCAAGGGTCCCTACTCCTCTCAGTGGCAGTTAGCCATGGACGCAGAGATGCTTCTTGGAAGTCCACAGGCACCTACGTTGACGAGGTTCCCCCACCTGGGGTGAACATCGTCAGTGGCATGTGGATTTTCAGGGTGAAGCAGCCGCCGGACTCTCGGTCTGTCTCAAAGGCGCGTTACGTGGCTCGAGGCTGCAGGGAGTTGACTACTTTCAGACCTTCTCTCCCACCCCGAAGATGACTACTCTTCGGGTGCTACTACACATAGCCGCTCAGCGCAACTACGAGCTTCACTCTCTTGACTTCAGCAGAGCTTTTTTGCAGGGCAGCCTACACAAGGAGATCTGGCTCCATCTGCCCACCTCGCTTGACTGGGTCGTTTCCTCTTGGTACCCAGTGGAGCCTCCGGCGGCCAGTCTACGATCTCCGCCAGGCGCCCTGTGAGTGGCACGACACACTGAGGACTACACTTGCGGCTCTTGGGTTTGCTCCTTCTTTAGCCGACCCGTCGCTTTTTCTGCGCACCGACACCTCTTTGCCGCCGTTCTACATCCTCGTGCACGTCGACGCCTTGGTCTTTGCCACTGCTGACTCTGCTGGACTCGTCCACGTGAAGTCCGGGTTGCAGAAGAGACATACGTGCACTGACCTGGGTGAACTGCGCAGCTACCTTGGCTTGCAGATCACCCGGGACAGAGCACAGCGCACCATTACCCTGACTTAGTCACACATGGTGCAGCAGGTCCTTCAGCGCTTCGACTTCACATACTCCTCGCCTCATGCCACTCCTCGGTCTACTCGCCACTTGCTCTCAACTCTGCCTTCGGATGAGTCTGTCGATCCGAGTGGCCCGTACCCAGAGCTTGTTGGCTGCCTCATGTACGTGATGACCTGCACACAACCTGACCTTGCATACCCTCTTAGCATCTTGGCACGCTATGTTGCTCCTAGGAGACACTGACCAGAGCACATGGCTGCAGCGAAGAGGGTGTTGCTCTACGTGTGCAGTACGTCAGGCATGGGGCTAGTGCTTGGAGGGCGACGTCGAGTGGTCTCACATGTCACGCTGACGCTTCTTGGGTTGACAACCAGGCTGTGCAGCGGTCATCACAGAGTTACACCTTCAGCCTTGGTTCCGGCTCTGTTTCGTGGCGGTCTACGCGATCGTCTTCTGTTCTCAGTTTCAACTGTGAGGCTGAGATCTATGCGGGGGCCATGGCTGCATAGGAGCTACGCTGGCTCACCTACCTGCTGACTGACCTAGGAGAGCCGCCTTGTTCTCCTCCAGTTTTGTACGTAAACAACAAGGCCATGCAGGCCTTGTGTCGGGAGCAGCGCCTGGTGCACAGAACGAAGCACATTGCTCTTCGCTACTTCCTTGCTCGTGAGCTGCAGCAGTGTGGTCACCTGGGCCTTGCTTACGTGGCCTCTGAGGCCAACATTGCTAATATCTTTACCAACGCACTTCCGCCTTGTGATCATCAGCGCTTCTGTACGATGCTAGGTCTTGTGCCTACTTGGCCTCACTTGCTCACTTCTTGACCTTGCTTGTACTAAGATCTTTCTATACTTGCACTTGCTTGTTTACCTTTATATATGATCTTGCATGTGAAGTGGCCTTCTAGCTTTGCTCTTGTGCTCGGACTGGGTGGTGATGTTGTGATCCACCGTGAGCTTGCTTTGCTTTGCTTGACTGGTCTTGTGACCTCTTGTTCTCCCCCACTTTGCCGATGGGGGTGTGTCAAATTCTTATACTATAGTCTCTGTAGGCTATAGTGGGGTAGACAATATGGGGTACAACACTTTTATGTTTTCCTACTTGTGTCCACCTGCTTGCTAGTTCATTCATTCCTCATTCTTCGCACAAACAAGATTGGCTTAAAAGAAAGTATTGATGAAAAGGTAAAGGGCTTGAAAGATACTTGAAGGGAGCTTGTAATGAACTTGAAAATAAGAACTTGATTATTATGGAAAGAGTTTAAGTATAAAACAAATTGACAATAGCAAATGAATTTTGATGTAAAAGAAACTTGGTGAAAAATGAGATGAAGAGATAACCAGTTACTTGAAAAGAGTTCTTACTATTATGTTGTAGAAGTTGATCTTCACTTCAAGCTTAAATGTTGTCTTAGTTGTTTATGAAGAACCTCAAAGCTTGAATGTTGAGAAGTTGATCTTGAATGTTGACTCGTAGATAATGTTTGTTGAATGAAGAGAAACCTCCAAGCTTGGATGTTCAGGTTGGAGCTTGGACCTTGGGTAGAAGAATACACCAACCTTGATTGAAGCTTGAAAGTACATTAATCAAAAAGAGGTACATAGTTGGACCTTTAGATCAACTACCGTAAGCTCCCGGATAATAGACCCCCCGGAATACAAGACCCCCGGGTCTGTATTACGGGGGTGGGTCTTTTATTTTGGCAGGTTTTCACTATACCCCCCCCTAGAGGGGTAAACATTACTAGACCCCCTTCATGGTTGTCACTAGTTTATAATGGAAATAAGATGTCTTTTCAAGTGCTTCACTAGCAAGAAAAGCTTGACACCAATGCAACCTATTCACGGTTTGCATTTCAGAGATTTAGGGGGCAACAAGGGGTGAGAACAACATAAAAATAGTCACTCATCCTTGCCTGCAACCCACTCCTCCACTTCCTCTCCCTCATAGCGGCCTGCTGCCCACCAGTCGTCTCCATCCTCACTCCACTCGTCCGCACCTCCCATCTCTGCATCTGCCTCATCCCCCTCCTCCTCCGGAGCCATCACATCCCCTTCCTCGGCAGCAGCATCCACCACATCCTCCTCCCCTGCAAGCCCTTCCTCCTCGTCCTCTGCCTCATCGTCCTTGGTAGCGGCGGGCTCAGGGGCGTGCGAGGGGTCTTCGTAGAACGGGTTGGGGTTCACCCCGTCCTCCCCCTCGTCCAGCACATCCTCCAGCACCTCCACTTCCGCCTTGTCCCGCAGGTGAGCCAGGATCAGATGATCCTCGCTCCCGTCTTCGGCACTGGAGATGCCGCAGGTGAGGAAAGCTTTCTTCACCAGCTCCTCTGGCACATCAGCCCATGACTCGACGATCCACTTCAGGATCACTTCAGGGGGGGGCTTCTTCAAGTTCCCTCGGAGTTCACAAGAAGAATGCACAGCAGAGATGTAAAGGCAGTGGAGTTAATGCTGACTAGTCATCTTAAAGCTCACAAATCGACCACGACTCACCTACACGTGTCGTTTGGCCGATCCCGACCTCCTCAAACCACGTGCTGTAGCGGTGGCGAACACCGCACTTGAAACTGCGGTTGATGGAGACGTCAAGCGGTTGCACCAGGGGGGTGCAACCGCCAGGGATGACGGCACGCATCACCTTAAACATCTTCAGAGTTTGCCCCACAGATTCCGTCAGGTGCCCCTTGTACGAGTCGAAGACAAGGAGCGCTTGCTTGCGCCGCCCGCCCTCGTCCCGCAACGGCTTCAAGAAGGGGACGAGCACCTGTGTTGTCCAATCCTGGACAAGGCGCTCGTCCATCCAACCCTTCTCTTGGGCGCGGATGACGATACCTGCACACGCCACAACTGGAAATCAGTAATGGAGAAACAAGAGGAACAGAAGGAATCAACGACAGAAACACATCGGGCTCACCTGGTGGTACCACGATTCGTGGCACCGTCTTCCGCTTGAAGATGACGTACGGGGGAAGCTTCAGGCCGTCAGCCGTCACTGCCAACATGACAGTGACACGCTCCTTCTCGTACCCCGCCGTCCTGACATGCACCGTGCGGGCGCCTTTCATTTCGAGGGTGCGTTCTGCCGGCATCTCCAACCAGAGCGGGGTCTGGTCAGCGTTCATGATGAGGTTGAGGGGAAAGCGATGAACCATGCGCATCTGGCGGACGAATTCCCAGAAGGACTCCACCTTTCCCTTGCAATCTGTTAAACACACAACGACACATGTGTTAGATAGCATTTTACGTAAACCGTTACGGCAAGGGGGGGGTGACATGCAACTTGCTCACCGGCGGCTAGTTTTTGCCCCATCTTTGTCTTCACGCGTTGCGCTAATGACCACCGCACGCGGTAGCGAAAGGTCCAACGTGCCGATGCGCGAAAATCGGCGGTAGGCAAACGGTACTTCATGTACTGAGTTGCCCATTTGCGGAGAAGGCTCACCGACACCGCCAATCCTTTGGCACGGTGCGCCAAGAATTGGCGGTAAACCGCTTTCTCCATCAGGGGCCACTTCGCCCTACGCCCTCCACCGTTAAGACGTCGGCGACAACCAGCGGCGACCTCGAGACGCTCCTTGAGTCGCCTCCACTCGCGGATTTGCTTGGGCTGCACCTTGGCGAGCTTCGCCAAGCCACGGATGCTGAGGTCAGGCTATGACTCCAACATGGCCAGCCAGTGCAATTTCTCCTTGGCGGTGAACGCGTTACGAGAGCGTTTCGTCATCCTATGACGAGGGGAAGGAGGCGCAGCATCTAGAATCCTTCGTTTCATGCCTTGCGGGCGACTAGACTCCGGAAAAGTAGGGATCACGACTCTAGGAAGCGGCGGTCGGCGAATGCCATGGGAACTGTCGCTAGGATCGCTGGAGGAAGGTGAAGTTGTTGGCAAAACGGGCCGGGGTGAAACTCGTGTCAGAATCCCAACCACTAGACCATTGGGATAAAAGGGCTTGTTAAGTAGCGGGTCAGTGCGCCCATAACCCCCCAGGCCAACGTGCCTGTAACCCTTCCCTAGGATCAATCGGGGATCACCAGTGGACCTCTGACAACTCGTACTTGCGATGCTCGATTAACGCTAGTGGGACGAGGGCGCCTTGCGTGCGACATCCCTGAATCTGGAGACGTCACCATCGTGAATGATAGCTTACACCTCTAGCTACTGCTCAAAGTACTTCCTCCACCCATCTTAAGACGACCATCCTAGAGCTACGGGCCCTAAGCGCACCACTCTGCCGAGCAGAAATCAGTTTCGTGCGTGGATGAAGAAACAGGCGGAGGAGAAGGATTGTGATGGGTGAAAGGATTGACGTGCCTCCCGTTGAACAGTAGGGGTTGCTGCACGGGCCATCGTGCAGCCCCTGCGCTCGAGACGTGCATGTGTCAGGGTGTCGAGGTGGGATGGCACGCTGACGAGCCACAAAGCGAATCTCAATGCTGGAATGTGGTAACGTGCGATTTCGGCCAATGAGAAGGCCACAAGCTGATTCCCCTGTGTGATATGGCTACATCGCAGAAGTCGCACACATGTGCGGCCCAAACAACAGGGGAAAAAATGTCAAGCATCCTCATCAATGAGGCACTCGATTACACCTTTAAAAATCATATCAATTTAATAAGACCCGGGTACTAAACAATCTTGTGCCGTTGACAAGACCCCCCCCTATTTTTTTTTATGAATTTTACACAAGACCCTAGGGTCTACTATCCGGGAGATTACGGTATCCTTGATGATCTAGAAGTAAAACTATGTGGCACAAACTTCTCTAAAATTGGAGCATATGGCTATGAGCTTGGGTTGGGAGAGGTTCGTGGTGATGATGAAGCCTTAGGAGCTAGAGCATAAGGAGGAGGACTTGAGGTTGGCCTTGAGGGAGCTTCAAGAACTTGTTGAGAGTTTGGGTATGAAGTAGCATTGAAGAATATGAGTTTGAAGAAATGAAGAGGACCCTTTTGTATTTGGTGGAGCTTGATGTTGGATAAAGGATGAGGAAAGGATGAATGGTTGTGATTGGTTGAGTTGGATAAGATGGGGATGATGAATGTGGCTTTGAAGGCTTGGTGAAGAGAATGAATGTGGCCTTGAAGTTAAGGCTTGGTGAATGAGATGTATTTGACTTTGATTTTAAGGCTTGGTGAGTGGAATGAATGTGGCTTGGATTGGAAGGCTTGGTATGGAATCTTTTGTTTGATTGGTGGATAATGGGATCAGAAAGATGATGAGGATAGGAGGAGAGTTGAGGTGGAGGATTGATAGGTTTTGATTGGTAGGTTTTGCTGTCTGGAGATAGGAAGGGTGTGGTGGCGAGTGGGCATTTTTGCAAGATGCCTTTTGCATATTCGGATTTTGGCTGACGGGGAAATTGCGGCGAAAAAATTCGCCACGTGAAAAATTTCCCGCCATCCTGGTGCCACGCGAGCAGCAGCCACCGTTCACTGCAACAGAAAAGCGGAGTATGCGCGTGAGCTACTTCCGTCCATGCCTCGTCAGCAAATGGCAGCCGCCAACGCCGAAGTAGTGTTCTGCGCGGCTCGCAAAGGTGGGCAAGCAATGCACTTGAAGGGGTGGAATGCGGTACAGAACAACGTTTGGCAATTGCTGGAGAAAAAAAACAGCTTTATAACATTGTTAGGAAAACTATACGACGGATTCTATAATTTGAGGTGAGGACTGCTTACAACATCCACCAAACGCACTCCTGCATCCCACTCCCTGCGTTCTCCTATCTGTGCGCATCTCGTCTCACATTACAATGCACAATGAAGATTATCAGCAATTGGTAGCAACGGACTGGAGTGGTCAATGGGAATCACATCAGCACATCTGCCTGGCTTTCACATCACAATGCAGTCCAACATCGTGCAACTTTCACCACTCGCTGGCCAACCACACGTCGCCAAGTGGCGGCTCCCTGGGCACAGGAGGCATGGCCCTCACATCATCTGCCCCCAGCCGAATGCCAAACCGGCCCCTCACCACCGCATCGAACTCCTCGTCTGTTGCCAGCTGCTGCTGACTCTGATCACGGGAGAAACGGGATGCACGCGCATGAAGTGGATGAGAGAAAGGCGTTGGGGATGGGAGAGAGAGCGAGAGAGGAAAAGGATTTGCTTTTGGAGGGAGGAAGTGAGGAGACATGGCCTAGTGGTTCCATGGCGAGGAAGGTGAACAACATGGAAACACGTACTCGCAGCATCCACCTTCGGCCCTCCTTCCCTCCAACACCTGCAGCAGCAGCTCACTATCGCAATATATTTGCACCCTCCTCACCCTTACCCGCTTACTTGCCTTACTACCAACCCCCCCACGTACTCGCCCCGCTCACCTGCACGCGCCTCTCTCACCTGCACGCGCCTCTCACCTGCACGCGCCTCTCTCACCTGCACGCGCCTCTCTCACCTGCACCCGCCTCTCTCACCTGCACCCGCCTCTCTCACCTGCACGCGCCCCTCGCCATCCAGCAGCAGCAAGTGGCGGTCGCGGATCATCTCGCGAATCACCCCCCTGCCCTCCACCTCCCTCTCCCCCTCGCTGCACACGCGCACCGCAACACGCGGCCCGCCCAGGGGCGAGGCATGGCGCATGCACTGCAGAGAGCGGCGGGTGGGAGGGAGGGCAGAGTAGGAAGAGAGGGGGCAGGAGAAAGGGCTGGCTAGAAGCAGCGGGTGGCAGGGGCTGGTATAGAGGCGCGCATGCAGCTGTGAAAGGGCTGGTGCCCCGGCAAGCTTGCTTTGTGCATGACTCCATGGCACAGGCAGGAGGGAACGAGGCGAGAAGGCGACGGGCGAGGTGGGAGCACCTGGAGGAAGTGAGCTGTGTCATGCGGCCACGAGGAGAAGCGATACAGCGGCTGCCACTGCGCCTCCTCCTCACAAGCGGCCTTCCCCCATGCTGCCTGCTTGCCATCTGCTGCTGCCCATCTCTCGCCTGCTTCACTGGGCCCCACGCGGCACAGCCGCTCCACCACATACCACTGCTCGCCTGCCCTCACCGCTGCTGCTGATGCTGCCTGTCCTCCTGCAGCATGCGTGAGCCGCGGTGGGCACGGTGTCCCGTGGCCACGCACACCCTCCGTGTAGAAGTCATCATCATCATCGGGGTCTGAATCTGAATGTGCCTCCCCGCCAGCACTCCTCTCACCCATGCGCCCATCCATTCCTGCCTCTACGTGCTCCACTGCCCACCCCTGCACGCCTCTTTCTACTGCCCTCCATCCCTCCCTGCCCCTGTCCGCTGCTGCTACTGCTGCAACTGGCTTCTCCCAGCCGTCTGCTGTGCATGCAGGCGCCACACTGACAGCCCCCGCACCTCGTCCACGCACCCAAGGGGCTGCACCGGCAGGTGCTGGCGGGTGGGGCGGGGCGCATGGGGATATGCGGTACACCCCCGCGTCCTGGTGCTGTGGGGGAGAGGGGTGGTGGGATAGAGAGGTGGCATGGAGAGGAAACGCTTGGGTGAGGAGAGAGAATGGGTGGGAGTGGGAATCGCACATCACATCACAGCAAGGAATGGAGGGACGTGTGTAATGAATGGAGATGGGAGGCGAGGGGAAGGAGGGGCCTGCCTGGTGGATGGCGGGTTGGAAGAGCAGTGGCTCCAGGAACATGGGGTGGGGCAAAAGGCTGCTGGGGCAGCAGGGCGTGCTGACGTCAGCGAGCCATGCCATGCCGTTGATGTGCACCAGCAGACACATCTGCATGCGGGAGGGGGGAAGGAATGGGGGGTGGTAGGACAACGCATGGTGAGAGGGCATGTGCATGAATGAAAACACATGAGTAGGTGGGTGGGTTGTTCGTTGGGTGGGTGGGTGGGTGTGTAGGTGGGTGGGTGGGTGTGTGGGTACAGGACAGTACGGGATAGGAAGAGCCAAGTCACCGAGTGAGATGGCTCACTCACGTCGTACATGATCTGCCAGCTCTGCACTTGCTGATGAGGCAGCTGCACGAGCTGACTGGACAGGCTGCTGCGCTGAGTCAGCAGGAGATGAGAGGCGAGCCACGCAGGCAGCCGCATGATCTGACGATGGCGCCGCTGCAGGGGAGGCAGCATTCAAAGTAGCAGCCGGTACAGGTGGTTGACGAGAGGAGCGACAGGAGGAGGACGGAGGGGAGTGGTGGTGGCGGGGCGAGTGTGGCGAGTGGCAGGAGAGGGCGGGAAGGAGGTCGACCTGGCAGGCGAGGTGGTGGCGGAGCACCCACGCCAACAGCACGTTGGACTGCCCGTGCACGCACACAGGAGGTGGGGGGGGTGGGAAGGAACGGTGATTGGATAGGGGTCAGCTTACGGGGGCCCGTGGTGCTCTGCGCGGCCTT